CAGATGTTACTTACGAAGCACTTCAGACACCTCAGACATTAGGTTTCTGCTCAGACAGTTTATATTCTTAAAATAACCAAAATAGCACAGGAACATACAGCCTTAAAGTTTTACCTAAACTTAAAGGAAGTAAGTTTAATACTCAACAGTAAGAATGAAAGAGTATGACTGCCCTAACTCAATGCACAGGCACTATATATAGCTAAATTAAGAAGGGTTCATTTAAGACCAATAAAAGCATAAAGTTATTGAAGAATTTATTTTTAAATTAAAAAAGGAAGGGTTCATTTAAGACCAATAAAAGTATAAAAATAAAATTATTGAAGAATTTATTTTTAAATTAAAAAAGGCAAAGAAAAACATCCCTGTAACCCAGTGACAACGTAGGAGAAGGAGAAACTGTCCCAGAACTGATGGTCTCAATAATGCTAAGTTAAAGCTTTTCACGTTTGTTGCAGCACGGTATGTTTGTTCCAACTTTCTTTAGACCTATTAAGCTCCAGTAACACACAACCAGCCCAGCCACGCTCTGGCAGACGAATACTTACCTAAGCCATACAGAGCAATTTTTGTTCTGCCCTTACGCAATAAAATGGGACTAATATCTATTTTCTCCACAGAAGTTGAACGTCCAAAGTGATTCAATAATCCTGCACAGCTTAAAATATCCAACGCGCAGAGTGCATCTGCCTGTAGAAAATATTGAGAAACAAATACAAAAACTTTGAATTTAGTCTTTAAAGTCTAAGTGAAACAGTTTCAAAAGGGAGAGAGAGTATCTTTCCTTAAGTAACTTCTGCAGTTGAAAAACCCTGCCACAAGTATTAGCTGGTTTTTTTTCAGGACTAACGGGTACAGAAGCAAATCCCTTTTCCTTACAAGTCCTGCTTTATTTGAAAAACATGAAATTTAACATTAAATCATTCCGAAAAACAAAACCCCAAAGACCCAAAGTCTCTAAACTACTATAGAAAATTATCTGGTTAAGCTAACTACTTCACAGTAGGTCCAAGGTTAAACTTCTGTTGTTAAAACACCCATCTTCATGATACACTGTTATTTAGAGAAACATAGAATAAAAAATGCAAGATTATTCATTCAACACATGCGCTTTGCTGCTTTCTAAACGTCCTTTTCCTGTTCACTTTTAGCTGTTGATTTTTAAGCTAGCACTTCCTCATTATTAGATTATCTTCCTTGAAAATATAAGATCCATATCAACTGTATACACACAGTCAAAGAATCGAAAGTCCCCTTCTTTAAGAAAAAAGCCTTTGGTCTCCACAGATAGAATTTGTTTTAGAAACTTTATAAAAGGCTGTCATTTCTTAGCACAAATATTGCTTCTGTTCTCAGTGACAGAAATCTATGTAAATTAAGAATTTAAACAGTTCATGTGGATCCCTTGACTTCTTTCTGTTCTCTTTTTTTACTGTCACACTTGCTTTGTTGACATTAATTTACAGAGTGGAGCAACTGGTGGAGCTGGTTCTCCAAGAATTGTATTTCTATACAAGTTTCTATTCCTATAATATTTTTGTAATATAACAGTATAGTACAATTACGATAATAATTACCCCTGTGGGATCATCATGATTACCATGAATACTAAAAACCGGAATAGAAATGTTGAGATTTCTATCCTGATAATTCACCCATGGAAACCTGAAAAAGAAGAGGGGGAAAAAAAATTAAAACTTTATCTGCAAATTTGTGGACAATTCCCAATATTCTCTTCACATTAACATAATCAAATACGTCATGACAGCAGCACAAATGACTATTAAGTGGCTAGGAATAAGATTAAGCTGCACAGTGTAAAAAGATTCTACTCATGGGCTGGAATGGCATTTTCCAGTGGGAACAGAGTAGCAAAAACTCCTATTTTTTTTGGTGTTTGTTTTTAGAGAAGGCCTATGAAAAGAATTGTACAACACGTTGTGTGGTACGTGCAAGAGCAGCAGGCTGGGCTGTGCAACCTTTGTTTACACACAAAGGACTCTGCTGATTCTACCACAGCAATCTGTGTAAATTGGCTTACTTGCATTGCACTTGCAGGATAGAAACTATATATCACCTAAAGGTATCAAAGGTCACAACACATTCAGAAGTTTCTCAAAAAATTGTATGCATTCCTTTATAAAATTAGATAATAAAAGATAATAAAAGATGACTAGAAAGAAATTCTTTACTGTGAGGGCGGTGAGACACTGGAACAGGTTGCCCAGGGAAGCTGTGGATGCCCCATCCCTGGAGGTGTTCAAGGCCAGGCTGGATGGGGCTTTGAGCAACCTGGTCTGGTGGGAGGTGTCCCTGCCCATGGCAGGGGGGTTAGAACTCGGTGATCTTTAAGGTCCCTTCCAACTCTAACCATTCTATGATTCTATGACAGGTGAAATCATCCCATAAACTTTCCACCCAACCAGGCCTAAAAATTCAAGGTTCCAGTCACAGAAGATAAAAATAACAAAAATCACAACACATTCACCCAATACACAAACAAAACCTTACATCATAATTTACAGGAACAAACTTACTTGCTATAGTGAAAATTCACTGCCTGATCACTCAAGATTTCAAACTGAACAGGACGATCTCCCATGCAGTATTTTCTCAGTGACTCCAAACAAGAGTGCACTGTTTTCCTTGAAGGCTTGTTTTCGTGAAAAAGGTCCCCACCTAGTAAAACAAAGTCCACCTGTATGTAACAAAAAGCTCCATTATTTTAATACAACATTCTATATTACTTTGAAAGACTTCTAAGCAAATAGTTTAAATTATTTCTTCTAAGGAATTCCACATATCTCCTCATATCTGGACTTCTAGGTAAAACGAATTGTAGTTGCAGGCACAGTATTTAACTTCCTCATGAAACAAACATTAACTAAATTATTCATTAAAACAAAACCAAACCCATAAAGACCCATTTATGAAGAGCTATAGTAGAAAAAATCTGATAGTTTTGGAAAAAAACTATCAGTGAAGTGTTCTAATCAGGGTCTCCAGATTGGCTCATGAACATTTTCTTTGACAGGCATGAAGAGACACATTCTCTTTTCATTGCTGTGGTACCTAGCGGGAAGGAATCAGTAGCTATCTCCACATTACTTTGAGCAAGTACTAACTGCACTTCTGTCTATATTTAGTTTTTGAAAAAGCATTAGGAAAAAGAAAATCACCTTCATCATAACTACATATAATTTGACTAATAAACAATCAATCCTTAAAAACAGAAACAACACTCTTAAAATTTCTAACTTTTATTTCTACTTTGAGTTGTCTGAAGTATTTGTATCATTACCCTCACACCCCCCCCAGTTATTTTCCCTTCTTGCAGTGACAAACCCTCTCTAAATACCACTAGAACGGGTGCAGACAACCTGAAAACATCGTTAATGCAGCCAGGATCATAATTTAATAAGAACAGCTATTCCTTTTACTAAAACAGAAACATAACTGGTTGCAATAAACAGTTTAGTCATTTAATCTGATTAATTACTAAAGCTTGCTTTATAGTTTCCAGCAGGTTGGAACATATTTTCCACAGTCGCACTCTTTCCAAAAAGCAGTACTTACTTCATTTTTTTGAGCATGGTCTAGAATTTCATTAAAGGTTACAAATGTGTCATTTCCACGAACTGGGTCCTTTTCCAAATAGCCAAGATGAATATCAGTAGCAATAAGGATTTTAAAGGTATCTTCATCATCCCTGAATAAGACAGGAAAATCTGTGTTAGAGAGCAATATACTTCAGAATTTTGACACAGACTTTAAATGCTTCTGTCCAAAGTCATTGAATACACAGGAGATTTGTTTTAACATTCTGTCAAAATACAATTCCTGAAATATTCTCATAATATTTCACTGCTTTTATTGCAAACAGACCTTCAAACCAAACAGTTTGAAAATTAGGTTATGCCAATCGCTCTAATAAAGGGCTGCAACCACCTCTGTGACGTATGTAATGAAAAACTAAAGGGTCTTTTTTATGTTTTCTGCCCTTAAAAAGACCTGGTGAACAAGCATTCCATTTTCTCTCTTTGCAGTGGTAATCCACCTGTATATGAAAGCAAGTATGATGGAAGGACTAGTCCAACTTGGTCCAACTAGATGGTTGGACTAGATGATCTTGAAGGTCCCTTACAATCTAGATGATTCTATGATGATCATAAGGAACAAGGGGAAGCATAAATGCTGATCTAAGTTCTTCTTAACTTATTCCAAGCATATAAAAGACTTGCTATCTGATGACATAACTGCACAGAGCTGCAGACGAGAGGAGCTTACTGTGAGTTGATGGTACTCATCTTCGTGCCAAGACTCCTGGCAAAGTGGCTCTGGGCACAGCTGGGGGGCTCAGGTCAGGAAGTTGAAGTTTCTAACTTCATCGATGCTTCGCAAAGCCTAAGAGACAAAAATTATAAACAAATGGGAGCAAAAGGCAGAGAAACCTGAAGGATCGGTTACCCGTTTTTTCACTAGTAATTCTTGCTGGTAAAACACCTCAAGATGAGACAGGATCCGTGCCTGGTTTAACGGTTTACCACCGCAGCAGAGGCACGGCTATCCCGGGCGGCGTCGGAGCTCTCCCACATCGCCCGCCCGCGAAGGGAGGCCAACTTCAGGGCAACGACCCCGCAAAGCGAGACAGGACGGGAGGCAGGACGGGCGGGCACGACCACCAGGGCGTTCGGTAATGAACGGAGCAACAGGCCCGCTCCCCCCCTCAGGAGCGCGGGGCAGCTGCCAGCCCCCGAGGCGCAAGGGGACGAGGCGGCAGGTGCCCCAGCGGGGCCCAGCAGACACTGAGCCCGCGGCCGATCCCCCTCCCCGGTGCCGGTGCCTCACCCCAGGGCCTAACGCGGCCTCCCGCCACCACGCGCCGTTTCCATGGTGCCGAGAAGGGCGGGGCCCGGACCCCCCCTCTCCTCTCGCGAGATCCGCCCCGCCCGCCGCGATTGGTCAGCCCCACCCCGGTGTAACCTCTGTCGTCACGTCCGCTGGCGGGCGCCGGGCGGGTGGTGGGCGTGAGTGCGCGCGCGCGTCCGTCCTCTCGGCGGGTGGCCCCGCCCCCCTCGCGCCGGTGGCTCCGCCCCCCGGAGCGCTGCGTCGGTGGGGGCGGCAGGTGGGTTCGGTGGCGAAGCTAAGCAGGGCCGGGTGGGGTCCGAGCGGGGATGGGAGACCGGAGGGACGGTGCGTGGCCGCCAGCAGCCCGCGGGCAGGGCCGGGGACGCGGGGGGGCCTCGGCGGCGGCCTCCGGGTGTCCCCGGGGGGAGCGTTGAGGCCCTTCCCGGGATGGCGGGGACCCCGCGGAGGGCGGCGGGGCCCAGCCGTGAGGGGAAAGGGCGGGCGGGGGGAAACACTGCCTTAAAATCCCAGTCTTTGCTCCAAATCTTTTGTTTATAAACAATGACGTGGTTGGTTTTGTTTGGTTTTTTTTTAATTGACGATAAAAGTTATTATAAATACCGCGGTGTGTCTGCCACTTGCAGCCGCTGAGCGAAGATGAGCAAAGCCAAGCAGGGGGACGAGGATGACGAGGACAGCGATGAGTTCGAGGACTTTACGGAGAATTTCAACCAGCTGGAGCTGCTGGAGACGCACAGGCACCTCATTCCTGTGGGGACTCAGAGCTGTTGGTCGGGACAGTCCGACGACGACGATGACGACGACGAGCAAGAAAGAAGCGAGGAATGGTACGAAATGCAAGAGAAAAAAATGGAAAAAAATCCAGAGAAGTTGCTCCTCTGGGCAGCTGAAAACAACCGGGTGAGGCGTTTATCCTGTTCCTACGTATCGCTGACGAGAGTGTTATTTTGAGCAGGTATCCACAGTTTCATCGACAAACAAAAACTCACCTACGCTTTCCTTCACCCCCCTGGAACCATTTCGGCGTGGTTTTGCAGGCTGCTGTGTGTAAAACCCCCCCCCCCCCATTTTGTAGCCCACCACACACTCCAAAATATTTCTGGATCCATTAGCTTTCAGAAGAAAAGCTTTGATTGTGGTTCCAAGTTAAAATAACAGCGTTCTTAAACTTCTGTAACTGGAAGCATGCCAGATGCTTTCTTCATGGCGAACAAGCCTTTCAACGGGGGGTGGAAAGGGGTGTATCCGAAATTTCACTTTCTCAAAAGCTACACAGACAGAGAATGGGTGACTTTTCCTGTTCCTTTATGGGGGGTGAAGCTTTTTATTCTCAGTAGTGAAGGAGAGAAGCTTGAGATTCCTGTTACGTAGCTTATTACACCCTTGTGTGTACGTTTATTTTCATTAGCTGCCTTCCTACACGTGCACAAGCTCCATCTACAGTTCTGTGGAGGTACTTGTGTGCTCACAGGGAATGGGGAGAAGGTCTGAGGTGAAGGTACTCCTCAGGCATCGCAACTGAGTGCTTAAAGCAAAGGTGGGGGGAACTAGGGTTTGTGTGGCTTTGCAGAATGGTAGTGGTTTAGGAGAGGGCTCTTCACTGTGAGGGTGGTGGAGCACTGGAACAGGTTGCCCAGGGAGGTGGTTGAGGCCCCTTCCCTGGAGATATTCAAGGAGAGGCTCAACGAGGCCCTGGGCAACCTGGTCTAGTTGGGGGTGTCCCTGCTGACTGTGGGGGGGTCGGACTAGATGACCTTTGGAGGTCCCTTCCGGTCTGGACAACTCTATGACTCTATGGTTTATCTCTTAAAAAAACCCAACAAAACAACAAGTTAAACCCCAAACAAACAAACCCCACAAGCCAAAACAACCAAAAAAAACCCACCCCAGCAACAAAACAATCACTGGTTTTATTTTAAAATTTGTTACGCTTGAGCCATTTTGAGACCAACAGAAATTGTTTTATTTTCTCACAAAACTTCAGTAAAAACCATTGTCCTGGTTTGAGCGACACAGGATTAATTTATCTTGTAATGCTTGGGAAAACTGCACTTTTTGTAGACTCTAGTGTCTGAATTTGTGAAAATACTTACAGCCAGCCATGCTCTGTGGGTTTTAAGGTCTTTGTCTTTCCGAGTTAGCCAGATGCAGGGATGAGGGGAAGCGAGACCCAGGCACTTTACCCAAGGTGGCCAACAGGATTATTTCATACCACGAATGTCACATTCAATATAAATTAGAAAGTTTGCTGAGGAGTTCTCTCTCTCCCTTGATGGCTATGATCCTGAGAACTCCTTGCCCCAGTGCTGGACCCCTGAGCCCTTCCCTTCCTCCTGAAGCTGCAGGGCTCGCAGGGTCCCACATCTGCTGTCCGCTCTGGGAGTGCAGCTTCCTGCTGAGAGAATGGGCTGAGGATAGTCCCTGTGTATTTTATATTAGTATTGGGATCAATACTGGTTCTTTACTAATAATAATTTTAATTATTTAGTCTTAATTCTATTGAATCTGTTTATACTTCAACCCTCTGTTTTCTTTGTTTCTTCCTGATTCCCATCCCTGGGTTGCGATGGATCATTGGGTGATAGAATAATGGTCTAAGTGACAATAAATGGTTAGGGGTTTCTCAAACCTTGACAGCCACTGAATTTCACTGAATTTTTAGAGTTGTCCCTGTGTATTTTATATTAGTATTGGGATCAATACTGGTTCTTTACTAATAATAATTTTAATTATTTAGTCTTAATTCTATTGAATCTGTTTATACTTCAACCCTCTGTTTTCTTTGTTTCTTCCTGATTCCCATCCCTGGGTTGCGATGGATCATTGGGTGATAGAATAATGGTCTAAGTGACAATAAATGGTTAGGGGTTTCTCAAACCTTGACAGCCACTGAATTTCACTGAATTTTTAGAGTTGGAAGGGACCATAGAGATCATCTAGTCCAACTCCCCTGCTGAAGCAGGATTGCCTAGAGCTTGTCAGAGCATGTCACTCAGGACTGCATCCAGGCGGGTCTTGAAAATCTCCACAGAAGGGGACTCCGCAACCTCCCTGGGCAGCCTGTTCCAGGGCTCTGTCACCCTTGCTGTGAAGAAGTTTTTCCTCATATTTGAGTGGAACCTCTTATGTTCCAACTTGTGCCCGTTGCCCCTCGTCCTCTCACTGGGAACCACTGAAAAGAGTCTGGCTCCCTCCTCCTTCAACCCTCCCTTGAGATACTTGTAGGCATTGATAAGGTCTCCCCTCAGCCTTCTCTTCTCCAGACCAAAGAGTCCCAGCTCTCTCAGTCTTTCTTCACAAGGGAGATGCTCCAATCCTTGAATCATCCACGCATCTCGTTTGTGGAGTTTTGTGTTAAATTAACCTGTTTTCCTTCAACAGCTGAGCACAGTGAAGAGGCTGCTTTCCGAGAAGCTGGCTCCAGTCAACGCTCGCGATGAAGATCAGTACACTCCTCTCCACCGAGCCGCCTACAGCGGGCACCTGGACGTTGCGTACGAGCTGGTGGCCCACGGGGCGGACGTCCACGCGCAGACGGTGGACGGCTGGACGCCGCTGCACAGCGCCTGTAAGTGGAACAACACAAAAGTGGCCGCCTTCTTGCTTCAGCAGGGCGCGGACATCAACGCGCAGACCAATGGTTTGCTGACCCCCCTGCACATCGCCGCGGGGAACAAAAACAGCAGGGACACCCTGGAACTCTTGCTGATGAATCGCTACGTCAAACCGGACCTGAAAAACAACTTGGATGAGACGGCCCTTGACATTGCCAGGAGGACTGATGTCCATCACTACCTGTTTGAGATAGTAGACGACTGCATAAACGCTGTGACCCCTTAAAAGGGGTGGTTAAGCTGGTGGAGATGAGGCGTGCTGCCTGTTCTTGGTGTTGTGCATGCTGCTCAGCGGTGGGCTGTCCCTTCGCAGCAGGGTTTTCAATTTAAGATACTTTAGCATTCTCCTCAGGCAAAACGTCACTTCTTGCAACTCAGCTGGGTGGCCTCGCTCATACTTTGAAGCATCACTACTGTTACTCAAGGTATTCGGAAAGTCTCAGTAATTTCAGTGAGTCTCCTTTTAATTAGTGGAAATTTGGAGGGTCTTTTGTAATTGGTCTGTACTGTCAAAGCAGGAGGGAAAACTGGAACATTTACTTGACGTGAAAGAATTCTGGCTTGGTTATGCAGAGTTTATTACAGCACACTTGAAAATTATTTTTTGAGAAATTTAACTTTTTTAAAACTGCATGAAAGCTCAGAATGAATGTAACTTATTTGGGTGATACACAAAATGTTTAGTGATCCTGGTGTAAGGCTTATAAAATAAAATATTTAACCCTAAGTATTTTGGTGTCATATTTTTAATTGAAAGCTCAACTATTAATGCAATCACCTGTTCATAAATCAAAAGCGTTATTCATAGGATGATTAAAGTAGTTTTAGGTTTGGTTTTTTTTCTGGTACTTTTCAAGTGAAGATACTGTTTACTTCTTGCTTGCAAATTAAGTTGAGGAGTAAAGTTGCAGTGTCATGGATACAGCATTGGGTAGAAGAAATGAACATCAACTGTGTGAGGATAAACAGCCAACATGCTGCTGTGTCTGATTTAGTTACAGCTAATTTAGTGCAGGACACCCTCAGCAGTGTTTCTCTTCTGCTTTTAAATCCCCAAAGAGAACCCCTCATGCCAGCTCAAATACTCAGCATAGTTTAAAAACTTCACTGGTGTTTTTTCCCCAAAATTCCTTATTTTTGAGACCATTCATTTATTTTGTTAGTTAAAGCCGTTTTAATTCTTCATGGCTTGTATTACTAATCCTAGGCGTTCACATCTGAGATGGGCTTCCGAAAGCTGTGGCAGAGATTTGGCTGCCATCATTTAAGCAAACTCAGGGTGATGGGAGTGGGTGGGTTGATTGGTTGGTTTGTTTCTTAAGAGTTTGAGGCTTTTAGCACACACTCAAGTGCAGCTTCTCTCTGCGTTTCTGCCAGCTGCAATCTCACTGGTTTGCAGTGAAGGCTTGGGACCCTTCATCTGAGGCGTTCTCAGCAGGTCTTTAGCAGTGAGTACTATTTGGCTTACCTTGGCAGAAAAGTGTTAATTAACACCATAAATTTTCTCAAGAGATGTCATTATTTTCTGCTTCTGTTAGTCCATTTGGCCTTTTTTGCTAGCAAGTGAAAAATTCTATGATTTTTAGAGTTGAGAGTTTAATTTACTTGTGTCACTGTTCACATCAACTGCAACAGTCTGGATCTCAGTCTTCCAACTTCTTTTGGAGAATCAACATCTCTGGATTATTTAGCTGCCTGTGAGAGGTCCAGCAATGTGTACTTCCTATTTCCCCCACCTTGGTTCAAGTGTAAGTTTCAGACAAAAATCGCTACTAAATGCAAGTATTTAATGACAGAGGTGTTTTAAGTACCAGTACCGTACATCTACAAAAAATTACTCTGAACGGGTAGACCTTTTTTTGATTAATAGTGATTTAGAAGAATACTGGCAGAACTTCAGCAATGCTGCTGGCCCAGCAGATAATCTGTATTGCATGGGAATTAGGACACTAAAGATTTTCCCATGGCAATGGCCTGCCGCATCATTTTGAGCTTCAACTTTGCCGTCTGTAATTCAGGAGTGGAGAAACTTGCTTCTCTGTATTAAGTTGAACTGACAATTTAATGGAAGACCCGAGGTACTGTCACTCGGTATGAGAGCTGTAACACAACGCTCTGTCGTCCCGTCCTTACTGGGTGATCCCAAGCTCATTCCAGACACCACTAACAGCTGAAGCACCTTTGGAGGAGCAGCAGCGGGGTTGGGGTACATTGGCCCACATTTGGTGCTCTGCTGAGGCAACTGTGGCAGGCATCTCCATCACCCACCTTTCCACAAGCCCTGTTCAGCACTCCTGTTAGAAAATGCAGAACTGCCTCTGAACTATGAATGATGATTTTTAAGATGATTTTTAATGCTTACTATCTTTAAAGTTTGGTTTCAGGACATCCGTGGAAGATGAATACACCTTGAAATGCATGAAGAAAAAATATAGAAGTCATGCATTTGTGTAACTAGACTTGGTTTGTATCTTACAAATTCTCACTGCTGTATGCAAAGTCTTGATTTCAAGGAAGTTACCGTGGGGCGAAGCTGCTGGCCGGGCGAGCAGGACACCTTCCCCATGTGCCCACTGGCAGCATTATCCATTGACTACTGAAATTGTCAGCTGCTTGTCTTTCTCAAAACTTCAACAGTGGCAAAACATGGGGAGTCAAATCTACTTCAGTTCTATGAACAGCGTCTCAAGGTGCCTCATTTTATGAAAAGTGTTATTAAACCCAAGTCAGTACTGCTGAGTAATGGTAGATCAGTGTCACAGAATCATAGAGCACCAGGTTGGAAGGGACCTCAAGCATCATCTGGTCCAACCTTTCTTGGCAATAGCATGGCCCAGACAAGATGGCCCAGCAACCTTAAAATCGTCAAAGTGTCCAATGATAGGGAACCCACCACTTCCCTGGGGAGATTATTTTAGGTTGTATCGTTTAACGGATGTATATAGGTTATCCGGTTAAAGAGGACTCTTCTGTCTTTGTCTCCACTGTAGCCATTGCCTCAGGAGAGGAAGACAAGGTGTCCTTTCATAAGGCCAGCGGTGACACCCCACAGGAGTACATAATGTTTGTGAAGTGTGTGTGTGTGGTAACGCTGACTGTCAAATGAGGAGCCATTAACGATACCTAGAGCAGAACCGTTAATGATGCCTAGAGCTGTCACCCACCCCGGTGCCTCAGGCGGGCACGAATGAGGTGGCCGCCGCCTACTGTCCCCTGGGGATGGCAACTGGCCACACACCGCCTCGGAGGCTCCCCCGTTGTTAGCCCTGGCCTGTGGAAGGGGTAAACCACCCCAACCGTGACTGCAAATGGCGGACCCGACCCTGTCTCCCCGGCACAAGGCGCCGGGCTCTCTCCCTCAGCCCCTCGCTCCCCGCCGAGGCGCAGCCCCAAGGTGGCGGAGGGCGGGCGGGCGGTGACACCCTGCTCTGCCCCGCCGGGGCTCGGCTCTACCCGCCGCTCCGCCACGCTCCCTGCCGCCGGCAGCGGGGCCCAGCCGGACCG